TAATGACCCCGATTTTAGCAGAACCCAATTTTGGCACATCTTTTTGACAACACCAATGACATACCAAATTCGGGGCCGGACTGTATATTTAATTTTAAACACAATATTAATTATAATTTTTTAAAGCATTTTATATATGCTACTTGTATTTGTATTTTTCATATTGGTATTTAATCATTATATCATGTATGTTATTTTAATTATGATACTTAATAAAAATTAATTTAAAAATATAAACTTTTATTTATTAATACAGTATTTACGTAAATATGTGAATAAATCTAAACAAATAAATGACTTATAATAATTTATAAACTAAATGAATATTTTTATTTAATTCAAAGTCGAATGTTATTTAATAGAAATTAAATAATATAATATAAAATTATATTTATTTAAACTGTAAAATTTAATTAATTAAATTATATATACATGTAAATTAAAATAAATGCGCAAATGCAAAATAAAATGCATATGCATTTATGCAGTTTAGGCCATCCCATGATCATATAGTGATAAAAAGTAGACTTTTCATGTGTACACCAGTCCAGAGTAAATGTCGGCAATACCATTGCAAAAAAGCATTATAAAGTAGATAAAGTATTTGAATGTTCTCACCAGTCAATACTAGTTTTGACTAAGCAAATAATTTATTAAGATAACTATAAAATTGTACGGAATAGAGAGCAAAAGTATTAAAATCATTTATTATCTCTGCAGCAACTAAATGAATATAACAACAAGCTCATTTAATAAATAGAGCATAATGAATAAAGCTATTCAGAATATGTTTTTAATATAATTATCGGTTAAAAATAAATTTTTGGAACTTTTAAATTTAATTTATTGTTAAATAAATAAAGTTTACACAAATTATCTCATTTTTAATTGTATAACATTTATTTATACATGAATTACATGTTAGCACTGAATACTAAAATTGATGTGCCTTAACATTTAATAGTGTGTGAATCAAATATGGTTCAAATTTTTAATTAAATATCGGACGTCACAATATAAATATCTCAGATTTTGTATTATGTTGTGAGTATATAATTTATATAATATAAAGAACTAATAATGACTTTATTTTTATTAGAGAATATAAATTATATTTTATCATAAGAAAACAATTAGCTAATTACAACTTACAATGAATGCCCATGAAAAGCAACAATCCGTACTGTTCTCACCGGTGACCATAAATGGAGTAACGTTCAAAAACCGCATCGGTGTGTCCCCAATGGTCACGTGGAAAGGGGTGGACGGTGTTCCTAATGACTTTCACATAGCGCACTATGGTCAATTTGCCCTAGGTGGTGTCGGGCTGGTTATTGTAGAGGCTACAGCTGTGGAGCCCCGGGGCTGCCTTACACCGGCCGACACCGGCATCTGGAATGACGAGCAGGTAGAGGGGTGGCGCAGGATTACCACCCTGATCAAATCGTTGGGTTCGGTGCCGGGCATTCAACTGGCGCACGCTGGCCGCAAAGCTAGTAAATCTGTTGATTGGCTCAGTTCTAAAAGCTTGGCGACAGATTGTAAAAATGATTGGTCTAGTATAGCACCCAGTGCTATAGCATATGGTGATGATATGGATAAAGTGCCCAAAGAGGCCACACTCGAGGACATAGAAGTACTGCAACAGGCGTTTGTGTCGGCGGCCGTCCGAGCGGTTAGCGCTGGCTTTGAGGTATGAGATGTGAAAATTTTAACATGTTCGCCAGTTATCAATTTTTGGATTTAGATAATTGATCTACATTTTGCGCATGGTTATTTGGTGAGCACATTCTTGTCACCTATTAGTAATCAACGCACCGACAGATATGGAGGTTCATTGGAAAACCGGATGCGCTTCGGTTTAGAGACGGCCCGTCGGGTGCGGGAAGTGATCCCCAAATCAATGCCACTATTTGTGAGAATTTCGGTCACGGATTACGTGAACAATGGATGGGATGTCAACGACAGCGTAGAGTTTGCCAAACATTTAAAAGCTGTGGGCGTCGATGTCGTCGACTGCAGCTCCGGGAGTGTCATCAAAGATATTAATTACTCTACACTCAATCCACCGGAAGTACAGCACAAGGCCTCGGCTCAGATACAACGCGAGGCCGGTATCGCCACTACAGCTGTCGGTAAACTCATTGACCCCTTGCACGCCGAGGCGCTGTTGAGGGACAACAGCGCGACACTCATATTCATAGGTCGGGCGCTACTAAACAACCCTCACTGGCCATACACTGCCGCTGACCTCTTGGCCACCGAACACAC